TGGCAAAATGAATCAAGAAACAAAATCCAACAATATGCTGTATACAATAAACACATTTAACTCAAAAGGAAATTCATACACTGAAAGTCAAAGGATGGAAAACAATATTCCATGTGACAGGAACCCAGAAAAATGCAGGGGTAGCTATTCTGTTTGCAGACAATGTGAACTTCACACCAAGAATAATGAAAAGAGATAAAGATTACTACATACTTTGTAGGGGAAAAAATTCAAGAGGAAGAGATAATCAAAATGTATGTGTACCAAATACAGGAGCATCCAACTATGTAACACAAATATTAATAGACATGAAAAATCAAGTAAGCAATCATGTAATTACAATGGGTGACCTTAAAACATCCCTTTGTCATGAAGAGATAGATCAACTAGACAAAAAAACCAGCAAATAAATAACAGAATTGAATCAAACTTGTGAACAAATGGACTTAGCAGGGTTTTCCACCCAACAACATTAGAATACACATTCTTTTCAGCTATAGATGGTATGTTCTCTAAAATAGATAATACACTAACCCATACAATGTGCATAAGTAAATGCAGAGGAATTGAAATTATCCCATGCATATCATCTGATCATAGTGCACTGAAACTGGAAATCCATGACTAAAGAAACCATAAAAGCTCCATGAACACATGGAAATTAAATACTACCCTATTGAAGAACCAATAGATTACAGAGGAAATTAAATTTAAAAAATTAAACTATATATACAATTAAACAAAGATGCAACTTAGCAGAACCTGTTGGACATGGTGAATGCAGTCCTCAGGGGAAAATTTAATGCTGTGAATTGTCACATTAGGAAAACAGAAGAAACACAAATAAACAGCCGAATACTGCACCTCAAATTTCTAGAAAAAGAAGAACAAGTCAAGCTCGAAGCCCAAAGAGGAGAGAAAATTATAAAGAGCAGACCAGAAATTCATGCAATTGAGATTAAGAAAACAATACAAAGAATTAAAGAATCAAAAGGTGGTTTTTTGAAAGAATAAATAAAATGGATAAACATCTGGCCAATCTTATCAAAAAAAGGAAAGAAAAAACAAATTCACGGCAGAAGGAATAAAAAAGATGAAATCATTAAAGTTCATGTGGAAATACAGATCTTCAGTACCTACTTTGATAAACTTTTCTCTCATGGGATGAAAAACACAGAAGAAATGGACAGATTCCTAGAAATACATGGATTACCAAAGCTAGATCAAGAAGATCTAAAACTTCTGAACAACCCAGTATCAGTTAATGAAACTGAAAACATAATTAAAAAATTACCAACAAAAAAAGCCCAGGTCCTGATGGATTCACAGTTGAATTTTATAAGAACTTTAAAGATGATTTAATACCAATACTTCTCAAACTCTTTAATTAAATTGAAAGGGAAGCAATTTTCCCTAATTCTTTCTGGGAGGGAAATATTCTCCTGATACCAAAACCAGAGGAAGATCCAACCAAAAAAGAAAATTACAGGCCAATCTCTCTAATGAACATAGATGAAAAAAATCCTCAATAAAATACTAGCAAACAAAATGTAGCAAATCATGAAGAAGATTATATATCACAACTAAGAGGAATTCATCGTAGGAATGCAGGGGTGATTCAACACACATAAATCACTAAATGTAATACACCACATTAACAGAGCCAAAGACAAAAATCACACGATCACTTCAATAGATGCAGAAAAAGCTTTTGATAAAGTCCAACATTCATTCATGGTAAAAACCCTAGGGAAATTTGGAATAGATGGTCTTTACCTCAATTTGATAAAAGCCATCTATGACAAAAAACAGCCAACATCATACTAAATGGACAAACACTGAAAGCTTTCACTCTAAAACAGGAACAAGACAAGGTTGTACACTGTTACCCCTTCTATTCAGTATACTTCTGGAACCATTAGCCAGCGCATTTAGACAAGAGAGAGAAATAAAAGAAATAAAGATAGAAAAGAAAGAAGTTAAATTATCATTATTTTCAGATGACATGACTACCTAAAAGATCCCAAAAACTCCACCAACAGACTTCTAGACTTCAGCAAATTCAGCAGCATAGCTAGGTACAAAGTCAGTAACTCAAAGTCAATAACATTCTTGAACATAAACAACAAACTCATGGACAGAGAAATTAGGGAAACTATACCTTTCACAATAATATAAAAAATGAAATACTTAGGAATCAGTCTAACAAAGGAAACCAAAATTACACTACTCTGATAAAAGAAATTGAAGAGGAATTCAGAAAAAGGAAAGATAGCCGTTGCTCATGGATAGCAAGAACCAATATTATGAAAATAGCCATACTTTCAAAACTGTTATACAGATTTAGTGCAATCCTGATTAAAAACCATTAGCATACCACAAGGATCTAGAGAAAACATTACTAAAATTTGTTTGGAACCATAAGAGTCTAAGAATAGCAAAGGCAATCCTGGGCAACAAAGGCAACACAGGAGGCATCACAATCCCTGACTTGAAATTGTACTACAAAGCTGCTATAATAAAATCAGCATGGTACTGTAAAAAAAAGCAGACCTGAGGAATGCTTCAATGGAATGGAACAAAAGACACAGAAACAACTAAAAACACACTCATCTACCTTATTTTTGGCAAAAGGACCAAACACATTCACTGGAAAAAAGACACCCCCTTTAATAAATGTGGTGCTGGAAAAACTGGCTTTCTACATGCCAAAGACTTAAACTAGACCCATGCCTATCACTATGCACTAAAGTCAAAATGGATCAATGATCTAAATATTAAGACAAAAACATTAAACCTAGTGAAAGACAAATTAGGTAGAAATCTCAAGGACATAGTGGGAGGCTGAGAGTTCAAAACAAAAACCAAACTGCATGTGAAGTACTTCAAAGAACCAACTGGAATCTAGTCTTATTAAAAAGTTTTTACACATTGAAAGAAATCACTAACACAGTGAAAAGAAAATCCACAGACTGGGAAAAGATTTTTTCCAACTGTCCCTCAGAAAAAGGACTTTTATCTAGAATGTATAAATAATTGAAAAAAATAAGGCCCTCCAAATATAAAGACACATTCCAAAAATGGGCATCTGAGATAACTACACAATTCTCAGGTGAAGAAATACAAATGGCCAATAAGTATATGAAAGAATGTTCAACATCATTGGTCATTCAAGAAATGCAAATTAAAACCATACTGAGATATTATCTCACTCTAGAGAGAATGGCTAACATCAAGAAATTAATCAATAACAAATGTTGGTGGGGTTGTCAGGGAAAAGGAACACTTCTCCTTTATTGGTGGGAATGTAGGCTGGTAAAACCACTGTGGAAATAAATATGGAGATTCTTTAAAAAACCTCGAATAGAGGTTTAATCCAACCAGCTATTCTCTTTCTGGGTTATTTTCCCAGTAGAATGGAAAATATCATACCACAGTGAAATATATGCACCCCTGTTTTTAGCAGCACAATTTGTTGTAACTAAGTCTTGGAAACAACCCAAATGCCCATCAACTGAGGAATGAATAAAAAAAGTGGTATTTTTATACAATGGAATACTACTCAGCCATAAAGAATGATAAACTCAAAGCTTTTATAGGTAAATGGATGCAACTGGAAGCCATATTTATAATGAAACAAATCAGACTTGTATGTGTAAACACTGTATTGTCTCCCTAGTGTAAAACACTGAGAGATTTATCTAAAAGTTATAATAGATATAGTAAAAGGAAAAACTGCTCAAAGGGAAATTATATTGTCTGATCAATCTTGCATGCATGTATCTGGTAGCCTGAGCTATTTTTACTTTGAGGGTAAAATTATGCAATATAATAATCATTGTTAAATTCCTACCATCTTGTTTTGAAATCCTGTATCGCCATTGTTTTTCTCATTGTTGCCATTATTTTGCTTTTGCTGTTTTTTAATTATTTGTTTGCTTCTTGGTTTTTCTGGGGTTTTTTCTCTTTAAAATAAAATAAATGATATTACCTCAGGCTATGTAAGCCTAGAACCTTTATGTTTATCTTAAAGCTACCTTTCTAGCTCCCTAGTAGCACCCTGCTATTGATGTTGCAATATATAGATACCACATAGGGCATAACTTCCTCCAAGATGTCTTCCCTGAGTTCCAAGACTAGATTAGATATTTCTCCTTTGTGTTTCTAGTGAACCATTTATGCTTCTATGGCTGCATAAGACTGCTTTGAAAGCATCATTGCATATCTTTCCCTTGCCCATGGTATGCAAATTCCTTGAAGGCAGGACCACCAACTTTTTCATTTTGGTATCCCTGGCCTTTGGCTTAGGCCCCCAGCACCAAGTAGGTGCTCAGTGAGGGTTTCCATTATACTAGTGAATTTTGGAGTTTTCTAGTCTTGTGCATTCAAAGAGAAAATTCTGGTTCTTTGGTTTATGCGTCCTTAGCTTGGGTGCAGTGGCTGGACTACTGGCTCTGATGTACTCAGACTGCAAGTCAACTAGTCATGCATGTTGGCAACATACAGGCCCAACTCCTTTGTTTCTTCAGCTGCTCCTAACTCCCTACTTTCTGCCATCTATCTGTTCATCCATCCACTCCTCCATATATCCAGCCTACCATCCTTTCTTTCATCTCTCAGTCTACTATCTACCCATCCACCCAAGTAACTATTTCTCCATCCATCCATCCATCCACCTACCATCCCACCTAATTATCCACCCATCCATCCAGCCAAATGCCTTGCCACCCACCCACCCATCTACTCATCCATCCACTCACCCATCCATTCATCCATCCATCCATTCATGCACTCATCCATCCAGTCATCCACTCACCCATCTATCCATTCACCCAACCATCTACTAGCCCATCTACCTTTGGTTCCACTAAAATATTTATCATTACCTCTCCATCCATCTGCCCATCCATCTACCCATTTTTTCATAGAGTCATTCAACATTAATGTAAAGAGTAGTATTGTAGTCAGGGGATAAGCAGAGAACAATTAGAATCAGGACATGGAGTTTATATTATTTTTTAATATCACTGGGAGTTCACACAAAAATGCAGGAAATCTATCTGAGACAACAAAGACATAGAATATTTAGTCAAAGGCCTAAATCCCACAGCAAAGTCCCACATGAGTCCAGATAAAAACCTAGAGCTCATGACAGTGTCTCCCAACTGGAGGTCCAGAGCCCACAAGAAGGACTACGCCAGTCTTTTATGGATCCATGCTGGGAAGGCCCAAAGGTCAGCGGTGGAAGCCAGAAAGTCCATGCCGGCAGAGTGAAGGAGCTGTACTTGTGGGATGAGGGTTCTATGCTGGAGCTGAGAAGTCACACTCACAACAAAGACCAGGGCTATCCTGAAAGCACCACAGCCATCCTCCGCGAACCGGAGGCTCCGAGCTCCTCTGACGACACACACAGTTGGGTATGTGTCAGCAAGCCAGCGTGACAAGTTCATCCTGGAGACCAAGTGGCACATGCCTTCCCCTCTGGAGCCAGGAAGCAATACTCCATGTGAGGACCATAGCTTCTTCCCAGGAGAACCAATGGCTCAAACAGCAACTCATAGGAGAACCCACAATGCTTCAATGCAACAACGCATTAACATCCCAATGTTTCAACACCTCCTTTCTTCTCCACCTATTTATCCAGGCAATTTTCCTCAGGTGGAGCATCTTCGCTCAATGCCATGCTGATGTAATCCAGCTGGTGTTAAGTTGACCACCAGTTCTTAATCCATAACAAGTAGTTATCATAACCTCAGTTCAGTGGTGGGTAGAATGGTTGTAGGCTGCAGTGTTATTCAGTATCACTATCCAAAAGGCAAAGAATAAGCAAGGCCTAGGAAAAGAGCTTACTCAGTTTTTGTTTTTCTCATCACCTTATTTTCTTCATAGTACTTAAGTCAATCTGTCACCTTATTTGTCTCTTTGTTCCCCCTCCTGATGAGAAATCAACTCTCAGGTCTTGTTTGACCTGTTCTGCAGTAAATTTCTAGAGAAGCATGTTGGTCTTGATTAATATTTGCTGAATGAATTGGCATTAAGTTTCTCATCTGCACTGCTAAAGCTTTTCTGGCTCCAAAGTTATGGTATGTGATCCTGGGTTCCTTCTGTGAGCTTTACCCAAAGCTTCTGATCAATCTATCTAATATATTGGAAAGAAAAGAAGAAGGGTCAAATAAAACTTGATTTAATATAATTTCTTTAAATTTACTATTATTATTTGAACTGTTTATATTTTGAAAGTATAAAATATAACTGTTTAATAGCATTTTAAATATAACTGTTTAATAGCATTTTAAAAAATATTTCCTAATTTATTCAAATTTAAACAAATAAGCACCAACCAAAAATAATCTGAAAACAAATGATCTTAAAAATATAGAAAGAAAAGTGAGATTATGAGTTATAAATAACACAGGAGCTAGAAGTCAAATTGCAGGTTTACAAAGACTAAAGTGTTTTTTCACAGGTCAGAAAAGTGATAAGGGGGCTGGGAATTTAGCTCAGCGGCATAAGTGCCTGCCTTGCAAGCGCATAGTTGTGAGTTCAATCCCTGGTACCGGTAAAAAAAAAAAAAAAACCAGGAAAAGTGATAAGGGTGATTACTATCACTCCCCTATCCAACAGTGGACTGGAAGTCCCACAGAATAGTGAGATAAGAAAAATAAATTGTAAGCATAGAGATTAGAAAGGAGGAAATAAAACTGTCATAATTTTCAGATAACAGGATGAGTATGTAGAAAAGCCAAAGAAGATAGTAAGTTATTAAAAATGAGGTTTAATTAGGTTCCTGGATGTCACATTAAAATAAAAAATTAGCTTGCAAAGTAGAAAATCTAATCATAGAGAATTTTCAATGTACAAGAAAATATGAAATATCTTAGAATAAACTGAATAAAAGGTACTTATAATCCCAACGTGGAAAGTCACAAAACTGTAAGGGGAGATATACACGAAGACTAACAAAGTGGAGAGACATACTATGTTCATGGATTAGTACTGCGAATAAGTCAGTGGACCCAGATCAACTTTTGAGACAAGATAATTGTAATTAAATCTCCACAAGGGATTTCATGGAGCTTGAAAAAATAATTCTTAATTATATTTGGGGCCAAGAAGTACTAGAATGCTTCTAAAGAAAAAGAGAAGAGAGAGTGCTACACATATCAGACAATTAATAAATCCTTAGTAAGTGAGATAGTGTTGTGATGTAGTGAGAAACACATTGATCATAGAGCAGAATCCAGCCCAGGAATAGCATGTATGTGAAATGATACTTCAGTATTTGACAGATGTGGAAAAAGTAAAATTCTGGATTCTTACCTCACACCATAGATAAATTATAAAAATTTTCAAAACTTTGAGAAAATACAGATAAATATTGTTTAAATATCGTGGTAGGAAAGACTTATTAAACAATTTCTTAAAATATGTCTTAAAGCTGGGCATACAGGCATACACCTGTAATCACAGCACTGAGGAGGCTGAGGCAGGAGGATTGTTGCAAGTTTCAAGACCAGCCTGGGCTACAAAGTGAGCTCAAGCCCAGCCTGAACTGCATAGTGAGACCCTATCTCAAAAACAAACAAACAAACAAACAAACACTTAAGCAAAAAGTGTTAATTATAAAAGATTGATGAATTTTGCTAATTTAAGAACTTTTGTTTATCAGAAGATACCTCAAAGAAAATGACAAGAATGCAAGGGATTATACTGAGAATATATTAAGCATTAATTTTAATAAAAAAGCATAAACAACTATAAAAGTATCAATAAGAAAAAAACGAACAAATATTTCTCAGTATCATTGCATCATACATAGACAATCATACAGAGATGTTTGACGTCATGGATAAAATGTAAATCAAGACCACATGAAGTTCTACATTACTCACAATTTATTAGCAAATATTAAAAAGTCAGACAATACCAAGTTATGGAGATGATGTAAATTCAGTTATCATACACATATTGATTTATTGATAGAAACTTAGGGAAACTGCTTCCAAAAACAATTTAACATTGTTCCCTAAAGTTGAATATATTCATGCTATCATCAAAGAATTTGACTTCTAGACACACCAAAGAGAAATGTTTACACATGTACAAGACTAGAAGAAAAAAAGTTCATTTCATGAAAGTACTGTTTACATTGTCAAGAACCTATCAATGACTCGTATGAGGAGCAATGAGAGGGCTGTTGAATAAGTTATGGTATGTTTATATAACAAAATAGTATAGTGATGCTGAAACAAATGATAGCAATGTGCAACATAACAGAATGGCTCTTGCCAATTAACTTCTTGTAAAGTTAAGAACAACATTACATACACACACACACGAACTTTTGGAATATACATAATACAATGAGAATCCAGTCCATCAAGCCATGTGTGGTGATGTATGCCCATAAGCCACCCCTCTGAGCAGCTGAGGCAAGAGGATTGCAAGTCTGAGTGCAACCCAGGTAATTTAGGGACTTAGGGAGATGTCTCAAAATAAAAAAGTAAGAAGAGTCTAGTGATGCAGCTCAATGAGAAGGCCCTGGGTTCAATCCACAAGACCAAAAGAAAACAAAGAACCAAAAAAATAATTGAGTCAAGTGTGTGGGAACATACCTGTAATCTCAGCACTCTAAGAGGCTAAGGAGGATCAAAAACTCCAGATGATGCTGGGAAAATTAGTGAGACTGTCTCAAGATGAAAAGTTCAAAAGGGCTGGGGATATAGCTATAATAACTAACAAAATGAAAGTATGTTGTGTGTGGATCACTAGTGTGTTTCAAGAACCTGTGATTATGAGTATTTCAATTCTCTATACTAGTGGCTAAATTAAAAGTAAAAAACCACTTTTAAATAAAAATTAGACTATGATAAGAGAAATAAGATTACGAATCAGAGGAAGCTTGAATCTGGTTCACAGGTTGAAGAAGTACAGAGGGACAGATCAAAGGTTTGGATGCCTGACTAAAAGCCAAAGAACGAAAGTTAGCAACAGGACAGCTCTAAGCAATAAATTAAAAAGACCTACCAGGAGAATGTCATTCTTTTTATAAATGTTCTCATGCATTTTAGAACTGTTCTCTGACACCAGTCAGCAAAACTAGTGAACAGTTTGGTGACTGTAAACAACTGTGGTTCCTTGCTTCTTAGGACAACTGAACTCTTCCATTGGCTCCAAAGACTTCCCTATGCTATCTTATTGCTACAAGGCATTAAACATGAAATAAGGTCTTGCTTGGCAGTTTGCCATGGAGAAGTGTTCTTTTACAAGCCCTGTAATCCTGTAATACTTGGAGCACCCCAGAGCTGGGTAATGCATTTCAGAGCACTGTGAGGTTAGGTCATTTCCAAGCAACAACATTTTTAAAAAAAATATTATTAGCATGTTATTGCAATTTCATTACTACAAATGCAAAAGCTGGCTCTCTTTTTTGGACACATTAAGGCCCAGGAAATAGTAATAACCTGTTAACCTTGTCCTGTGAACCATGCGCTGCTGTTCTGACACATAGGAGACACTTCCTGAATGCTTGCTGAAAACACCAGCATGGTTTTTCCAAATAACAATTTTGCAGACCCTGGATTTTAAGAGAAAAAAAGGTTGCATGAAATATTTTTCTTCAAGATTGTACTTTACATAGCCAATACTGATCTAGATGTATGAATATATTTGTGGAATGGGAGCTGAAATTTTCTAAAGAGGCTACATTTATATTTAAATGGTTTTAGGTTATTTAAATTTTACTACTGTACACCATGACCTTGTGAAGAGATGAAGTGCTGTCAGCTGAGAAGTCTAAGTTGTATTGAGTTTAGGCTTTTTTTTAAAACCAGGCTGTATGTGGTTCAGTATTTTTTGTGTGACTAATGGCTACAATATTTTAAATATGATTATCCTAGTTTTTATTAGTACATGTTTGTAGGACATATTTACATTCCAAGTGGATGCATGTAACACTTCTTAATTACTTTTTACATCCCCTTTCCCTCTTCTTGCCCTCTGTCTTAGTCACTTTCCTTTGAGAAAGATACATCTCCCTAATTCCTATTATCTTTTATTTTGTTCCTTATAACTTGGGTTTCTCGCATAAGAGAAACCATGTGATATTTAATTTTGTGCATCTGATTACAGTTAACATTGTGTTTCAAGATACATCCATTTCCCTACAAATGACTCAAGTTTTATCTTTCTTCATGGCAGAGTAGTACTTTATTGAGTGTAAATACCACCTTTTCTTTATCCATTCACCCATTGAAGCACATATAGGCCATTTCCAAGACTTAGCTATTATGAATTGTGGTGCTATAAATATAGATATGCATATATCACTATAATATGATGCCTTTAACTCTTTTGGGAAAACCCCTAAAAAGAGGAATAGTAGGGTAAAATGGAATTTCTAGTTTCAGTTTTTGTTTGTTTGTTTTTTAGGTCTTAAGACTGGGAATGAGAAGGCACTTAAATCTTTTGGGAAGTTTCCCCGCCTCATTGAAACTAGCAACTGAATCTTAAGGAAGATTTCTCCATTTCCTAGTTTGCCTCACTGATGACCCTATCACTTTCTGTTGGCTGTAAAAGACTGGCATAACAACTTCATAGGTAAGAATCTAGTTCCCCCTGTTAATTTAAATTTGTCTTTCCGGGCTGGGGGTTTAGCTCAGCGGCATAAGCACCTGCCTTGCAAGCAGGCGGTCGTGAGTTCCATCCCCGGTACCGATAAAAATGAAAAAGACAAAAAAAAAAAAAAAAAAAATTTGTCTTTCCAGGGCATGGTCTGTGGTGTTGGCTACAAATAAGACATTACCCTATTCAGTATTAACATTATTATTGGGCTTGGCATATGGCCTACTGGTAGAGTGCTTGCCTAGCATGACTAAAGCTCTGGATTCAATCTTACAAGTACTTAAAAATTTTTTTGGGGGGGCTGGGGATTTAGTTCAGTGGCATAAGCACCTGCCTTGCAAATGCATGGTCATGAGTTCGATCTCTGCTACTGGAAAAAAAAATTTTTTTTTCACTTCAGCAAGGATATGTCAAAACATTAGTTGAAATTTGAGAGTGTTTTTGGAAATTAAAGACACAGCCATTGTTTGTAGATCAGTCACTGTGGACACAGCTTCATTTAGTACATGTAGGATCTGAAGAGTCGGAAAAATACAGTACAGACACATACACATTTGTAACAGCCACTGACTGAGAAACTGGGAGAATAAGACAAAGTCCTTGAGAGGTGAAGGACCCACTCAGTTTCTAGCCACATTAGACTGGACTCTGCAGGTTTTGCAGGCCTAGCTGGGCCATGTCCAGAGACCTTCTTTCAATCCAGGGAACTGGACTGTGTAGGTGAATACCAGCACACTGGTGTGGCCCGAGGAGAGTTTAAGATTATTGCTCCCAGTGGTTAAGTGCCCATCCAGCTTCCAGCCACACTAGACTAGGCTTGGGAGGTTTCCTGGGCCCAACCAGACCATGCCCAGTGACCTTCTTCAATCAAGGGAGATGAGGGAACCTGAGGTGAGTTCCATCGCATCAGTGCTAGCCCAGGGAGAGCTTAGAACCACCACCCACAGTGGTTAGGAGCCGACCCAGCTTCCTGGAACACCAGAGGTGGCATGGGAGGTCCTGTGGGCCTGACTGGACCATGCTCAGCAACCTCCATTCAGTCCTAGGAGCTGACAGAATAGGAGGCGATTTCCAACATGCCCAGGGGAAGCTTTGGAACATCACTTGAAACACAGAAACATAGGAAAATGACAAAAGGAAAGACCCAGATGCAATCTCAAACCTCCAGCCCATCCCAAGAAAGCCTAGGAGCTATGTACATAAAAGAAAATATATGCCATACACCTGAAATACCTGAAATAATAGCAACTGAAATAAAGAAGCAAATCCGGGAAGCTTTAAAGGAATTCAAATTAGAAATAATCTCCCAGGTAAAAGATGAAATGATAAAAGTAATGAAAGAAATGCTAAACACATCTAAAGACACAGTTAAAAATTAGAGGAACAAAGCAAAAAAGATAGAATCCCTGTATGAACAATATAAGAAACAATCAGAATACATGAAGCAGATTCAAAGAGACATACAGAAAATCAAAAATTTCATTGAAAGTTGTCACAAATGCCTCCACAAAAGTAAAGATAGAATTTCAGACCTCGAAGACAAGATTGCAGTTAGTGAACAGGAAAGGAAAGATCTTTTAAAAATAACAAGGAATCAGGAAATAACAATTCAACAGCTGTAAGATGATGCAAAGAAAAACAACGTAAGATTGATAGGGATAAATGAAAAAGAAGGGGACAATATAAAGAATGTCAAGAGGATATTTAGAGAAGTAATAGCTGAAAATTTCCCAAATATGAGAATGGAAACTGACATCAGGATCAGTGAAGACTATAGAACTCCAAATAGCCATAACCAATATAAAACTACACCCAGACATATAATAATCACCAACCCAGAAATCCAACATAAGAATAGAATATTAAAAGCTGTCAGAGAGAAAAGACAGGTCACTTATAAAGGAAAACCTATCAGAATGACAGCAGATTTCTCAATACAAACAATGAAGTCAAGAAGAATATGGAGTAAAGTATTTCAGATCTTAAACAAAAATGACTTCCAATCCAGACTGATGTACCCTGCAAAACTGTCCTTTAAAATGGATGGAGAAATAAGATACTTCCACACCAAAGAACAGCTGAAGAATTTCATGATCACCAAACCAACCCTGCAAAGAATACTGAAAGACATTCTAGATACACATAGGAAAAACCACTAATCAATGCATACAATTAAACAGAATGGAAAGATAAAGATGCAAAAGCAGAAAGATAACATGGCAAGAATAAATCAATATATAAAAGTAATAAACATTAATGTAAATGGTCTCAATTCCCCAATTAAAAGAAACAGACTGGCAGAATGGGTCAAGAAACAACATCCAACCATATGCTGTCTACAAGAAACCCATCTAACCCAAAAGGAAACTCACAAACTGAAAATCAAAGGATGAAAAACAATACTTCATGCAACAGGAACCCCCAAAAAGCAGGGATAGCTATTTGAATGTCAACCTCAAACCAAGAATGATCTGAAGAGATAAAGAAGGTCACTACATACTACTTAGGGGAAAACTTCAAGAGGAAGAGATAACAATCTTAAATATATATGCATCAAATTCCAGAGCAGCCAGCTATATAAAACAAGTATTAATAGAAATCAAAAATAAAATAAGCAATAACAATTATAATAGGAGACCTTAACACACCGTTGACACCAAGGGACAGATCAATAAGACAAAAAACCAGCAAAGAAATAACAGAACTGAATCACACCTGTGAACAAATGAACTTGATAAGACACATACAGCGTGTTCCATCCAACAACATCAGAATACACATTCTTCTCGGCAGTACATGGGACATTCTCTAAAACAGATCATATATTAGCCCACAGAACATATTTAAGTAAGTGCAAAAGAATTATCCCATGCATGTTATCAGATGATAGCACCATGAAACTAGAAATTAATGATAAAAGAAACTGCAACCCCCCCCCAAAAAAAATACATGGAAATTGAATAATACACTCTTGAGCAATCAGTGCATCACAGGGGAAATTAAAGAAGAAATTAAACAATAGCTACAAGCAAACAAAAATATAAATACAACTTATCAGAATCTGTGGGATGCAATGAAAGCAGTCCTCAGAGGAAAATTTATTGAACTGAGTTCCCACATTAGGAAAACAGAACGAAAACAAATAAACGACCTGATGCTACACCTCAAACATCTAGAAAAAGAAGAGCAATTCAAGCCTAAAGCCAAAAGAAGGGAGGAAATTATAAAAATCAGAGCAGAAATTAATGCAATACAGACTAAGAAAACAATCCAAAGAATCAATGAATCAAAGAGTTGGTTCTTTGAAAGAATAAATAAAATTGATAAGCCCCTAGCCAATGTAACTTTAAAAAGTTAAGAAAAAGCTCAAATTCATGCAATAAGGAATGAAAAAGTGAAATCACTACAGACTCTGTGGAAATACAGAAGATCATCAACACCTATTTCAAAAACCTCTACTCGCATAGGTTTGGTAACACAAAAGAAATGGACAGATTCCTAGAAGCATATGAAGTACCAAAGCTGGGTCAAGAAGATGTAAAACTGCTGAATAACCCAAATTCTATTAATGAAATTGAAAATGTAATTAAGTCCTTACCTACAAAGAAGAGCCCAGGCCCAGATGGGTTCACTGCAGAATTCTACAAGAAATACAAAGAAGACCTAATGCCGACACTCCTCAAACTATTCAATGAAATTGAAAGGGAAGTAATCCTTCCTAAGTCATTCCTGGAAGCAAATATTACTCTTGTACCAAAACCTGAGAAAGACCCAACTAAAAAAGAGAACTACAGACCAATCTCCCTAGTGAACACAGATGCAAAATCCTCAATAAAATATTGGCAAATAGGATGCAGCAAATCATCAAGAAGATTATACACCATGACCAAGTGGGATTCATCCCAGGAATGCAAGGATGGTTCAACATACGTAAATCAATAAATGTAATCCAGCATATCAATAAAGCCAAAAGTAAGAATCGCATGATCATTTCTATAGATGCAGAAAAAGCCTTCGATAAGGTCCAACATTCATTCATGATAAGAACTTTACAGAAAATCGGAATAGATGGTCTTTACCTCAATATAATAAAGGCCATCTATGACAAACCAAGAGCCAGCATCATATTAAATGGCCAAAACTTGAATGCCTTTACCTTAAAATCAGGCACAAGACAAGGATGTCTCCTATCACTGCTCCTATTCAACACAGTACTGGAAATAACTAGCCAGAGCAATTAGACAAGAGAGAGAAATAAAAGGAGTAAAGATAGGAAAAGAGGAAGTTAAATTATCATCATTGGTAAATGACATGATAATCTGCATAAAAGACCCCCAAAACTCCATGGAAGTCCCCTAGATATAATAAATAAATTCAGCAGTGTAGCTGGATACAAAGTCAATACTCAAAAGCAATAGCATTTCTATACACTAACAACAAAATCACAGAGAGAGAAATAAGAGAGGCCACACCCTTCACACTAACATCCAAAAAAAAAAAAATGAAATACTTAGGAATTAATCACACGAAAAAAATAAAAGATCTAATCAGGGAAAACTATAATACCCTGAAAAAGAAATCAAAGAGGATCTCAGAAAATGGAAAGACATCCCTTGTTCATGGATAGGAAGAATAAAAATTGTGAAAATGGCCATTCTCCCAAAACTTTTATGCAGGTTCAATGAAATTCCAATGAAAATACCATCAACATATCTCATAGATCTAGAGAAATCACTCCTAAAATTCATCTGGAACCAGAAGAGACCTAGAATAGCAAAGGCAATTCTAAGCAGCAAAGGCAAGGCAGGAGGTATCACAATCCCTGACTTGAAGTTATACTACAAAGCTACTGTAATAAAATCAGCACGGTACTGGAATAAAAACAGATCTGAAAATCAATGGAATAGATTAGAAGTTACAACCACAACTACAAACCCATTCAACCACCTTATCTTTGATAAAGGGGGCAAATATAT